ATAGTAAGGCGCTCTGCTCAGTGTGTGGAGAATCTGTGCAGGTTTTCAAAGACTATAATTTGAAAAGGCATCACATGCAAAAACACGCAGCCAAATTCAACGTGTATGAAGGATTTTGTCATAAGGACAAAATAGTAGAACTGAAAAAAGGACTTCTCAAAAATTTTTTCAAAAAGTACAACTTGGACAGATTCTATTGTAAATGCTAGTTATGTAGTAGCACATTTAATAACAAAAAAATCAAAACCATTTACTGAGCCCTGGCTGGTGTAGCTCAGTGGATTGAGTACAGGCCTGCGAACCAGAGGATCGTGGTTCGATTCCCAGTCAGGGCACCTGCCTGGATTGCAGGCCGGTTCCCAGCAGGGGACGCGTGAGAGGCAACCACACATTGGTATTTCTCTTCCTCTCTCCTTCCCTTCCCCTCTAAAGGTAAATAAATTTAAACAAAAATCTTAAAAAAACATTCAGAATCATTTATTGATGGTGGGTTTATTAAGCAACACATAGAAAGTGTGGCAGATATAATTTGGCCTGAAAAAAGGGGAGTTATTTCTAAAATCCATTTGTCTCACCAGACTATAGCCAGACGAGTTGAAGAAATTGGAAAATCTATCAAAAGAAGTTTGGAGAGTAAAGCTGCTAATTTTAAATTTTGTGCTTTGGCGATGGATGATGGCACTGACGCTACAGTGCAGCTCGACTTGCCGTTTTTATCAGATGTTTTGATGGCAAATATAATATCGCTATAGACATAGCTTCTTTAGTGCCATTGAAAGATGCAACTAAATCAAGAGATTTATGTGAAGCAGTAAAAAATGTGTTACAACATTTTTCTCAGTCCATTGTGAACACATCTGGTGAAGTTAGAGACGGGGCCCAGCATCGGCAGGTGAAAGTGAAGGGCTTGCAAAATTAACAGATGATGCAATTGCCATTCGAAACTCACCTTTGATGAAGTATCACTGCACAGCACACCAAAGAAATGTATGCACAAAAGCTTTAAAAATGGATAACATCACGCAGATAATCAAGACTGTGAATTCCGTAAGGGCCAAATGAAACTGAATTCCGTAAGGCATTGAATCACCATCAGTTCCAGGAATTCCTTAAAAGTACTGATGCTGACTATGGCGACATCATTTACTTTTCGGAAGATGGCTAAGTTGAGGCCAAATGTTGAAAGAGTTTATGATTTGCAACGTGTTATCAAGTCATTTATGGTATCAAAAAACAAATTTGTGTTGGAACTTGACGATGAAAACTGGCTTAAAGATTTAGCAATTTCAGTGGCTTTAACCACTCGTTTAAAAATGAGTTAAACATGCGTCCTTGAGGTGAAAACCAACTTACCAATACCATGTTTCAAACCGTAACAGTGGTCCAAATGAAACTGAAATTATGGCAAGCTCAAATTAAGGCAAACAATTTTATGCATTTCGACACATTGGCTAAACACAGTCCTGTGAACAGTGAAAAATACGCAGCCTTGCTTTTTGATTTGTTACAAGAATTTGAAAACAGATTTCAAGATTTCCAGGGGGGAAATCAATATTTTGCTATATTTGTGATTCTATTTTTAGTCAACATAAATGTTACCTGCCAATTTTCAAATGGAATGCATAGAACTGCAATCTGCCATTCAACCTAAAAAAAAGTGTGATCGTGTCTCTTCGTTGGACTTTCACAGACCCTATCTTCCCAGAGACAAATATCCCTGCTTCGCAATCACACCTTACTCATGTCATCCCTACTGGGCAGAACCTACGTTTGTGAGCAGCTGTTTTCAAGAATGAAGCACATTAAGAGTAAAATTAGAACCAAAATATCTGATGATACCTTGAGAACTCACTGAGTAGCAACTGCTTCTATCAAACCAGATACTGATGTGCTAGTTTCTCAAACTCAATGTCAAACATCCCACTAGTTTTGTGTTGTCCTCTTTTCATTTACTTTTACAAGTAAAAAATATTTGAAAAAAATAGATGATGTTTTATTATGCAGACATATACATTTTCTATATTAGTGATCACAAACTTGGGACCTGCTCAACAATTTTAAGATTATCAAAAGGGCTGATGCATAATTAGGATTATTGTGTGAGGACTTTTTTTGCTTATCTGTGGTGGCAGATATCATGAACATTATGCAAGGAGCTTTTTTTCTTCCTCATCTGTTTTTGTTAGTGTTTGTGTATTTAATGTGTACCCCAAGACAACTCTTCTTTTTCCAGTGTGGCCCAGAGATGCCAAAAGGTTGGACACCCCTGATCTAGAGAATGGAGAGGAGATCTTCTGAGCCCTGGGGCATCCCAATGTTTACAGGTCAGGGAGAGGAAAGAATGTAAGAAAGGAGACCCAGGAGAGTCCTGTGAAGTAGGAGAAAAATGGAGAAAGTAGTTTCTTAGAAGCCAAGTAAAGAGGGAATGACTAGTTCTTACAAGCGCTCTTAGGGAACTAGTTCAGGGGAAGGATCTGGGGGTAGTATGGCTGTACCCAGAAGCCCAAAGGGAGTCTGTGAGCTCAAGGTCAGGGAGAGGAGCAGCCCAAATGTGCAGATACATACAGGCACTCACACCATGCGCATTCAGCTACACTGGTATCTTTACCTGGGACTTGTCAGTCTAGGCTGCTGTACAGAGAAAAGGTCTGGGAACATGGACATTAATTTTTGACAAGAACAGTTTTGGTAAACTTACATAAGCAATAGTGTGATCCGAATGAGCTCAAGAGTGAGGGAAGAAGTTGGAGACAGCAAGTATAAACAACCCTTTCTAGGAGTTGTGCCAAAAAGGAGCACAGAGAGATGGAGTAGCCAGAAAAACGATGTGCTTAAGAAATGGTTTTAAGGTGGGAGAAATTAGCCCTGGCTGGTGTGGCTCAGTGAATTGAGTGCCAGCCTGTGAATCAAAGGGTCATGGGTTCAATTCCCAGTCAAGGCACATACATGCCTGGTCCCCAGTAGAAGTTGCGTGAGAGGCAACCACACATTGATGCTCCTTTCCTCCTCTTTCTCCTTCCTTTCCCCTCTCAAATAAAATCTTAAAGATGGGAGAAATTGCATTGTGTTAGTGGAAACAATCTAGCAGAGAGGGAAGAGTTGCCGATGCTGGCAGGGAGCACTAGAGTGACATTCTTGAGTTGAGAGGATATGGCACTCGAAGCGAAGAGGAGCGGTTGACCTTTAGGAGCACAGTTTCTCCACAGTACAGGAAAGCAGGCAGAGCGTGTGTGCACAGATAAAAGATGGTGGATAGGGTGGTGAGCGCTGAAGGAAATTCTCCTGGTGGCTTCTATTTTTTCAGCTCGAGAGGAACTGAGGCCACCAGCTGAGAGAGTATGGGGCTGGGGATGGCAGAGGTTTGAGGAAGAAGGGAGTGTAAAGTGGCCATCCAGAAGCGTGGCTGAGAGAATGGCTCATTTTTGTACAGTGTCTCCTACAGCATCTTCATTACTTCGGCAAGTACGTCCTCAAGTCTATCATGTCCCAGACACTTCCATAAACACCAAATACTTCTCGAAAGTACGTGTGGACGTACAGACCAAACACACCCCACGCCTGTTTTATATCCGGAGCTGAGTGCAGTTTGGGCAGCTCGGCAGAGTAGGGGCAGTGGTGATGCAGACTTGGAAAGATTTTTTAAAAGTCCATTTGTTTGAGTTATTCTCCTGAAATGCAAATTTGATCATATCACACATTAAAAAAAATCTTTTAATGAAGATACAGAAGAACTTGTGACAAATTGCTCCTAGGAAAGAAACAGGGACACTGAGTACAGAGATGAGAGACTCACTTTGCAAGTCTGTCCTTGTGGAGTGTTACATGAAAAAAATATAATTAATCATGTGCATGTACTCACTACTCATTAGAAAAACAAAAACCCTCCCCAAACCTTTCTATGGTTTTCCATTGCCCTTAGAAGAAAAGAAATCCTTAGCTTGTTCTGATGCTCTGCACAGTATAGCTCTGCTCACCACTCCGGCCTCATGATTCCCTCTTCCTTCAGTGCCCGCTCTCCAACGCAGTTACACTGGCCTTCCAGTTCAGCTCTGCTAGGCTCTTCTGGGATTCACGGCCCTTACACAAGCTTTACTTCTCCCTCACGCATCCTTACTCTGATTTCTCCCTTCCCTTTCTTTTACCAATATACTTTAGGTCTTAGCTTTAAAGACAGCCTTTTCAGGGAAAACTTACCAGCCTGCATCCCCAACCCCCACGAGGCTTGGTCAGTCCCTGCACCCCCCCCCCGCCCTCACTCCCCTGCCATCTGGCACTTCAGCCACAAGCACTTAGGAAAATCGTGAACTGTCATTAGCTGATTAGTCGGCCTGTGCACTGCATCACTGAACCTAGGACAGGGCCCCTTGGAGCCCAGCACAGCGCTTGGCTCAGTGAGCGCTCAGTGAACGTTAACTGGATGACACACTACGTCTCTGGATCATTGTCCAGCTAAAGCAGCCACTGTTGGGGCTGATGTAGAGGAAAGGGAGCTCGATAAGGAAGGAACCTGTGCCCAGTCACCCTCTTAGGCTTCCTTTTTAGAAGCCCGGGCCCAGGAGGCGCGGCGGGAGGTATGGGGTTGGGTTTGCAACACCAGGAGCCTTAACCATCCTGCTCATAAGGCAGGAGGTTCCGAGGCTCGGTGGGATGGATCCAGACTTCTTTGGAAGGCTTTTGTGGCAGGAGGCTGCAGCCAAGCGAAGGATTTGCCAGATGTGAATACAAAAACGCTCTCTTCCCCCTTAAGAGACGAAGCTTGCACCACTGGCTATGACAAAGGCTTCTTGGCAGAAATGCCACAACTTCCCCAGTCTCGAATAGCAAGTATCCTGCAGTATCAGGAGCTGAAGGACAGTTCCAACTAGCCCTCTCGACCGGTGGGAAAACGAAGTCCGCCGGGCGCCTGCGCATTTGGGCTGGCCCTGAGTCGCGCGCATCCAGGCTCCGCCACCGGGAGGGACTACGCTCCCGCCCCGCCCCCTACCTCTGCGTGCGCACCGCCTAGGGCCCGCCTCGGTAAAAGACTGCCGGGCGCATGCGGTCGGGGTGCTTCACTGGCTGCCGGGGCCACCGTGTGCATCTCCTTCCTAACTCCTTAGCTGACAGGAGGATTTGAAGCGGACCTCAGGTAGGCTGACTCCAGAGATCCTGGGGTAGCTGTTCCCTGGTGCAGGAATCGGCGGCGCGGGCTGAGCCCAGCGCGGGACAGCCCTACCGCCGGGTGACCGACACCGCTCCCACCAATCACGGGCGATGTGGGTGGCAGGCCTGCCCAATGAGTTCCATGCCTAACGGGAATGGGGCGGGCGGCCAGGCGGGCTAGGAGCCGGCTCCCGCGCGCGGGGCCGCGTGGCCGGGCGCCGCTGGGGAGAAGGGCCGCAGTGGGCGTGGGGCAGCAAGAAGGGCTGCAGGGCTCCGCAGCGGGACGCCGAGGTTGGCTCATGGGATGGAGAGGGCTTTAGAGCGCTGGATTCCCCAGCCGCTGCTCCATTCGGACTGCCCGGGGCTACGTCCCTCCAGCCTTAAGGCACCTCGCCAGGAGGGGGTTCAAGATCCGAGACAGGCTTGTCCAGGTGGGATGGGTTCCACGGCCTGACCTCGGCCCCCTCCAGCGCGCCTTGTCTCCTGTGGCGGAAGGGGCCTTGGAGCTCGCCGGGCCTGACAATCTCCCGGTGTTGTCCCCTTCGTCCCCACAGCCGGCCACCTCCCTTCTGGGCCGCCGGGATGAAGATGTTGCATTTTAAAGTTAAGTTCAGTACCTTTGCGCATTTTCATCTGCACATTATAATTTTGAATTCTCAGCAGTTCTATGACAAAAGTGACGTGGAGATTCTCACCCCCATTTTACAGATGTAAGGAGGGCTCAGGCAGCTTAAGTGACCTGACAGGTCTCAGTACCCAAGGGATGGAGCTGGAACTGGATCTCACAACATTTAATGAACAAACAAAAAAAGAAGCTTTTTTCCATCTCTGTTGAATTCCTTTGCTACATCTTGATTTTTGTTACTTCTGTGCTTGAAAACATTCCGATGTCTCCATCTCCTTCAGAATAAAGTTCAGATTGGACATTCAAGTTTTCACATGACTGGGCCCCTTGCCTACATTTACAACTTATTTCCCACTGTCTTCCTCCTCTTCCCCCCACCACTTGTCTCGGCCCTACCTCTGGTTTCCGTAGATAGCTTTCACCTTCCTGTTCACTCTGTTCCCTTCCCCATGCTTTAAGTCAGGCAGTCAGCGCTTTGAGGCCCTCATGGCAACAGAGCAGGAATAGTATGGGCCCTGGGACTTGACTCTGCTGTTGCCACTGAAAGCTTTCTGCTCTTCTTCCCCTTTTATACCCTTCACATACTGTCCCTCTGCTCTCAGCATCACTGCATCACCCCTTTCTTTGTAAGTGTTTTGTCTCAAACTGGACTGCCAGCCACTTGAGGTGTGGGCCCAAATCTGATTAATGGTAGTCCCCAGAGTGTCTGGCACAGTAGCCTGCACATACACACTGACAGTGATGGGCGTCCATGAATGTGAGTGGATGAGTCCTGTGAGCCCCGACCTGGCCTTTGAGTACCTTGAATATTTATTGCCAGGCACTGTTGGAGACTGCAAGAATCACCCCTAAAGAGTGGTATTACCCTTTTAGAATAAAATGGGGGCAATTCCAATGTAAATTGATGAGATGAGACTTCTCACTCTGTAAACCACTCAGAGTGGCTGAAGAATTTCAAGGAACATCCAAAATTTGGTAAGACCAGGCATAATCTTTGGGGTATACCCGCTAGGGCCTGGCTAAGATACAGCCAAGTCTGATATTCATGGGTCAGTAAGGACTCATTCAACTATAAGGGAGCAGTCAGAGTAGTGTTTCTCCCAAATGTTAGGGACTTGGGGTCAAACAGGTTTGGGAATACTGCATACCGAGTACTCCTTTTGGAGGTTTACATTGAATGTTAACTTATTAAAAGTTAGAAGTCTTGCATTAGAGAAACCAATTGACTATTTAACTGATATTCCAGCATTTCTTTTATTTGTCCCTAAATCCTTTTGGGGAACTCCATATGCATTTTGTACAAACCAAGAAGCATGCTTTTGGAAATGCTGCAACAGAGGATGGAAAGGGCAGGACGCAGCAATGGCATCTGCCTGTCGGGGGGAAGACATTTTAAACATTTTATCTCTTTGCCAAGTGTGTGTATTCCTGCTTTGGGGAGGAGCTAGGTGAGGGCGATGCTTTAAGCAGAACTCCTATTTCCTTCTTCCTTTTTGTAGCTTGTTTTTGGCTTTACGTGACGTGTTCCCAGAGAAGGACTCGACCTTGCCAAAGCAAGTATTCTCTCTTTCGCCTTGGTGATTGTGTTTTTCATTTTGATCACATTTAGGTTTGTTGACCAAACGATGTTTTGGGGGCCTCTGAAGCTGTGGGCCAGAGAGAAATTCTCCCTGGTGAGCCTGTCACTGTCTCCTCCACTTGTCTATGCTTTTGTTTTCCCTGCTCCTTGCTTCTGCTGTTCTTGCATCTATCCATCGCTTTTATCTTGTGTCGAGTCTCTTTCTTCCAGACACTGCCATAACCGTCTGGCTCTTTGGATTTAGTCTAATCTGCCCACTTTTTGAGTCCTCTGCTCATTATGTGCTTCAAACTGGTTTATTATCTGCTGTCCCTTTCCTCCAACATGTAAAACTCTTCAGGGCGTACCTGGGAGGAAATGCTGGCAAGGAGTAAGTTATTATTAAACTGCAGAAGAGAGCTGCCTTTAATGAAAAGACTTCTAGGTGTAACTGCAACTTCCTTTAAATGTTGAAGTTCTTTTATTCTGTCTTTCCTAACCTAGAGGAGCTGTGTTTTCTTGGTGCTACATTGTAGTTTAGCCAAAGACACTATTTTATGGGAAGTCAGAGTACTCATCCAAGAGTGAAATTGTTTTCCTCATGTAGGGAAAGTAATGAGGTACCTGCCTGGTATGCCATTGTCTGGTGGTGATGCCAACCAGCATTTGGAGCACAGTGTTCTACTGATAGCTTAGAGCATTGTTTTTGTTTGTTTGTTTTAAAATAGGTTGACTCTCAGTGTTGTCAAAGCTTAAACAAAAAAAAGGTACGTTACTTGATTAGCAGTTGTTTTTCAACTCATATTTGACTGGAGCCATTCAGTGATCCAGGAACCCACAAAACAACTTTCTGAAGTCATGTGACAGGGAGACCAAGGCTCCGAGAGGGTTTTAGCTAGTGAGTGGCAGTCAGTATTTGAAGCTAGATATGTTTGATTTGTTGAGCTACATTTAATCTGTAATTTTTCCTTCCCACAGGTCAGAAAGGAAAATGAAGTACATTCTGGTTACTGGTGGTGTTATATCAGGAATTGGAAAAGGGATCATTGCCAGCAGTGTGGGCACAATCCTGAAGTCATGTGGTTTACACGTCACTTCGATTAAAATCGACCCGTACATTAACATTGACGCAGGAACATTCTCTCCTTATGAGCATGGTAAGCAAAGTGCATTTTTAAGTGTAGTGTGTAGAAGAACGTGTCAGTCAGCCCTTGGAAATTGTGTGTATTTTGCATAACTGCCATTTCTTGCCTTCTAAAAAGGTCCTTAGAGTAGCAGACCAGTGCCTTCCTCACCTGGACAGAGGAAGCAGAAAGCTTTTTCTTTCCTTTTTTTTTTAAAGATTTTATTTATTTATTTTTAGAAGGAAAGCGGGGACGAAGAGAGGGAAAGAAACATCGATTGGTTGCCTCTCACTTGCACCCCAGCTGGGACCTGGGCCACAACCCAGGCCTGTGCCCTGACGGGGAATCGAACTGGTGACCCTTAACTTTGCAGGGATGATGCTCAACTAACTGAGCCACGCCGGTCAGGGTGAGGAAGCAGAAATCTTAGTATGCAATGTAGTGATTAGAGTCTAGAGGTTTCTGTAACAGAAAGAACAGAAATGATCTTTTTGGTGGTTGAGTGAAAATTTGTCACTTCTATTGAAAAAAGGTAATCTGGGGACATAATAAATTTCTTTAAATATTTGAGAAGAGGGATTATATTTATTCTTTGTGGTCCCAAGCTTTAGAAATAGGATGCATGGAAAGAAATGATGAAAACATAGATTTTTCTGTGATACAAGAAAGATCTTTATCATAGCAAGCACTTTCCAAGACTGAGATAACTGACTTCCAGAAGCTGTGAGTCCCTTTGATGGAGGTGTGCTCATTCAAAAAGGCTAAAGGACCACTTTGTAGGGATTTAAACCACAGATAAATGCTGGGGTTGCGTGACGTGTAAGCCAGAGATACTGTTTTGCGGACACAGTTTGAATAATATAAACGAGGATCTTTTGAGGTGAGTGAAAAGTTGGAACTGTTACAGGAGGTTAGGAGAGTATAATCACATCTGTGGCTATGTGATTGTCTGAATTACCTAAAAGATTATTTGCTTAAAATGGGGGGTGGATGTGTTGTTAAAGCACACTTTCTAAGTTTTTAAATTCTGTTGTCGTACTCCTGCTTTCTAGCGTTGAGGTAGAATCTGTACGGATGAGTGTCACCAGGGCGGCAACGTTGGCATAATAAATGCAGCAGGAGAAGAGGGACGGACTGGAGCCATATAGTTCATTCAGGACCCCTGAGCAGAGGATGAGTTCTTTCTCTGAGGGGGAAAATAAGATGGGTTCTTTTTTTTTTCCCCCCTTCCCTATTTTTGAGCTTATATTGTATTGTGATGGTAGGGATGAACCATACTGGGCAAACTTTTCTAGACTGATGTTTTGAGGACTGAATGTTAAAAAAAGAAATGGGAAAAACTTAGTAGTTTCACAGCTTTGTTTAGGACTAAAGTGCAGCCCAAAAGATGGCTTTTAGGATGATCTTAATGGTTTATCTTGGTTAACTTTTGAGCTAAATCATGCTTTTTGTCACGCTTCATACCTTGCTTTGCTCAAGTAGTCGACTTCGTGGAGAACAGCAGACACCATACGAACTGGAAGGCCCCGTCTGTCCCCAGCCCTTGGGGCTGTGATTTCCTTCCACTCCACGCTGTTTCAGAACTCTGCCTGATTCCGACTGAGTTTGTGGGCAGACCGGAAGTGTGAAGTTACCTTCTGGAGAGTGGCTAGTGCTTTTCTATTTGTGTCTTCTTTAGTGATCTAGAAATAAATTTCTTTTGCTTTGTGTGTGGGTAATTGAGACTTTGTTCTAGTCAGGTGTTTACGTTTTGGAGCGAGTTGTGCCACGGCGCATGTGTTTTTCCCTTGCTCTGAACATTTTCCCTGCGCACCCCAGGTGAGGTTTTTGTGCTGGACGACGGCGGGGAAGTAGACCTCGACCTGGGGAACTATGAGCGTTTCCTGGACATCCGCCTCACCAAGGACAATAACCTGACCACCGGGAAGATATACCAGTATGTTATTAACAAGGAACGCAAAGGGGATTACTTGGGAAAAACTGTCCAAGGTAATACTGGATTTATTTGCCTTTAAAGTTTAAAAATCTTAACCGGTTGAATTTCTTTCGTGTATTGTTGCTGAAATATGCCTTCAGTCGACTCACAAGATAAGGTGGAGAAACCATCACTGCTCTGTGGATGGTGTTGAGGCTGTCAGTCCAGCGGCATGATTTGAGTTCAGAAAACGGTTTTTCGTGGTTTTTTTTAAAAGATTTTATTTATTTTTAGAGAAAGGGGAAGAGAGGGAAAGAAACATTGATCTGTTGTGTCTTGCACGCCCCCAACTGGGAACCTGGCCTACAACCCAGGCATGTGCCCCGGTGGGGAATCAAACTGGTGACCTTTCAGTGCAGGTGGGCGCCCCGCCCACTGAGCCGTACCAGTCAGGGCCAGAGCACTATTGTCTTTATACTAGGGCTGTCAAACTCATTTTTACCAGGGGCCGAATGTAATTTCAATTCCTTAGCAGTTAAGGAGTAGTTCCATTTATACAGTCCTAAAATTATTTTGGCCCTTTGAAGGCAACCGTGAGGCTGATGTGGCCCCCGGTGAAAATGAGTCTGATACCCCTGCTTTATGCAGTGATGAGTGTGAAGTGATGAAGACTACTAGACTAGGCAGTGAGCCAGACTCCATGTGTGTGCGTGTGTGTGTGCCCGTGTGTGTGATATGTCTGTGCATAGGCAGTGACAGGGAACAGAATGTCCATCATGGACATTGGTTTCAGGCTAACACTCAGGACGACGGCCTCAGGGAGAGTCTGAGGACTGGGTCTCTGGGTCCTCCTGAGCCACCGCCGGCCCGCCGTCACTTGTGTCTGTTTGCTCTCTTGGGGTTTACACAGTGTTCATTTGAGGAAAGGGCTGGTTTGAAAAAGGTGGGGTTGGAGAACCACTTGTCTGGCATAATGGCATAAGTCCAAATTTTGGGGACTGCTGAAAAGTGGCTTTTATCTGATCTGAGAATAAATCTGCTTTTGGCTTTAGGCTACAGTGGGCTGATAGCGAGGGTCCCGCTGACAGTGAGCAGCCCCAGACCCAGATTCTAGGTTAACTGGGTCATGTTTACACCTTAGCTCTGCCACTTACCAGCTTTATGAGCATGGACGGATTACTTAATCTCTCTGAAATCTGTTTTCCTTTTCTACAAAATGAAGATAATAACAGTACCTGCCTCTCCAGTGTGTTAGCAGGATGAAAGGCGTTAAAGTCAGTCAAGTGTTTCTCTTGAGTTCCTGATACAGACAAAGGGATCAGTTTGAAATTATAATGATTTCGACTATGTAGCTTGTGGCTGTAGGCTCCAGTGTATTTATCTGTTTATCTATTCATCTGTCGGATATGTTGTGAGTGCTCGAGGTGGTCAGACCTCCCTGGTGCTGGGAGTACTCGAGGAACAAGATCAGAAAGGCCATTGCTGGTGTGGAGGTCACAGACTCGTGGGATGGGAAGTCCGATGGGAGCTGTGGCGGGGGGGGGGAGTGAAGAGAGACTGAGAAAGTGGAGGGAGAGCTGGCTGGGCAGGGGGCCAGGGAAGGCCTCCAGGGGGAGGATGGGTGAGCCGGGAGGCCGGCAGCGGGAGGACTGGAAGGAGGAGAGCAGGCACGGCCCGTGAAGAGGCCCAAGACCACAGAGGGCTTGGTCATGGAAGGGGCGGGAGCGGTGACCCAGGATGATGGTCAGAGAGGTAGGTGACAGGGGTGCAGCCAAGTCACACAGGGCCGCCCACTGGGCCACAGCCTGGAGTTTGCATTTTAGAATGGAAACTCAGGGGGTGGTGAACTCTAATCTGCATTTTTAAAAGATCACTTTGGCCAATCTGTGTGGAGGAGTTGATGAACATCCTTGTGCCCGAGGCACTGCTGGCTCTGTCTACACACAGGGAGTTCGACTGAGCTCCTGCCCTTGGGGACCTGCCGCCAGAGCCTGACAGCTGTGGTTTTTTAAAGTGTTCAGCAGGAGCTGGCATTTATTGAGCACCGACTTGGTGGGCACTCTGCTTAGCATTTTACCAGTGCTGTCTCACTGATTTTCACAGCTTTATAAAGTTGAGGCTGTTACCACCAGTTCATGGATAGGGAAATCGAGCCTAAGAATAGTTAATTTGCCCAGAGATCCAGCCCTAATGAGTGGTGGAACTGAGATGTGAATCCAGACATTCTGAGACCAGGCGTTATGCTCCTAACCACTCTTGCTACACTGTGCTGGCTCCTCGCAGAGGATTGTCTCCACTTCGGCAGCCTGGAAACATAATGGGAGAGGGGCCTGGTTTCCCTTGTTCCTGGAGAAGCACCCAGTTGTGATACGCCCACCTCTGCCTGTAAGCAGTAGGGCGGCTGTGTGGCCATGCGTGGCGGTGCAGCCAGGGTGAGCCTGCTCAGGGGCAAGAAGAGCCCTGGTGTGGGTAAGGGCTCCACTCTCAGCCCTGCCCTCTCGTAGTGTTTCCAGCCACAGTGTGGACACCTGGAAAGGAGGCTATGGGGAGTGTGAGCCCAGAGATTTTTTTCTAAGGCCAGTTAAGAGTGGTCTCAATATTCTTGTGGACCCTTTGCCTGTGAAGGCAAAGAGTGCACCCATTTGTAGTCATCTTAAATGCATCTTTCTCATCATTGCTGATGGAAAAGTGTGAGTCACATACTTCTCTCCTTCTCAGTGGTCCCTCACATCACAGACGCAATCCAGGAGTGGGTGATGAGACAGGCATTAATACCTGTGGATGAAGATGGCCTAGAACCTCAAGTGTGCGTTATTGAGGTATGTATGAGTCTTTCCTAAACTCCGTGATTCCCGAGTAGGTGACCAGGTGTGCACATTCACCCCCTTAATCAGCCATCAGCAGCTGAGAAGACGATTCCCAGCTAAGCCATTGCCCTTCCTACCAATGATGTCGCAGGTGAGGGCACAGTAGCATCATGTGGATGGCCATCCAAAGTGATACTTTGCCTAAGCGATTCTCCTGTTTCAGCATTTACGTGCTCACATAGTGGAGACCGGGACACATTTTGGTCTCTGTGAGACTGAGCCCAGTGGGTTTCAGTGTCTGTGCTCCTGCCTCGCTGATCCTCGCTGGTGGGTCTCGGTGCTCCCACGGAAACAGGAGGCTTGAAAGTTTCAGCAGCTTGTTTGTAACAGATGATTTTTAATACAAAAGTTATTTGTGGCTAAGAGGGTAAGATTTAGGTTTCTTTGCTTTGTGGCTCTCCTACACATAAAATCCCTAGTACAGCTTTCACTTGACCTTTTTCTTAAATGATGTGGAAAGACCCACGATCCATGATAAAACCCTGTGGAGTGGTAAGCGCATCCAAAAAGGTAATCTTCTAGCCCAGAGAAATGTCTCATTACTGTTAACTGACACTGTGCGGACCCAGAGAGTCCGAAGTACACTGCGACTTACTGTGGGATCAAGAGGACAGAGTGTGTGTTAGATGACTAAACCCAACCGCCGGGGAAGGTTGGGTGCGGAGCCTCTAAAGTAGCGGTGTCCTTCCAGCTCGGCGGAACAGTGGGAGATATAGAAAGCATGCCCTTTATCGAGGCCTTCCGTCAGTTCCAGTTCAAGGTCAAAAGAGAGAACTTTTGTAATATCCACGTCAGTCTGGTTCCTCAGGTAAGTCAATCAAAACTTTCCTTTGGGGAGATGGAGAGGAGGGAGAAAAGGATGATTTTCATTCCTTTTCTGTTTTAAATATTTAAGCTGCGGGAAGCAGAAAATTAATAAAAACTTCTTTACAAATTTTAAAGTATTATAATCATACTTTCGAAGAAGATCCGGTGGGGCCCTGACCAGCATGGCTCAGTGGGTTGGGTGTCATCCCGCAAAATGAAAAGTCGCTGGTTTGATTCCCAGTCAGGGCACATGCCTGGGTTGCGGGCCAAGTCCCCAGTTGGGAGCATGCGAGAGGCAGCCAGTCGATGTTTCTCTTGCACATGGATGTGTCTCTCTCTCCCTTCCTTCCCCTTTCTAAAAATAAATAATCTTGAGACAAAAGAAAGATCCCATGGGGAACATTTGGAAAGTGAATCAGGGACGTTGCAGTTAAAGCTGGTGGGTCCAACACGTTCATCTGTCTTCACCCGCATGGCAAAGCCCCGTGATGACTGCAGCACAGGGACTTGTTTTATAGACAAAAACTCGCCCGGGTAAATACCAGGAGAGGAGTCAGCAGCAACAGAAATCAGGAAGGCAGGAAGCAGATGGACTCACACATACTGACTGAGCAAGCCTGGGACAGCAGGATCCTCAGCATCAGGAAAAGCAGAGGAGCAGCCCCGTTTGCCCCTCGGAACCCCCAGAGGCTCAGGAGTGGGCCACATCAGGCACCTCTGGGTGTGGGGGGCATGGGTCGGGCTCCTAACTGCCCTTCCAGAACCAGTCAGACCCTGACATCCCCTTCCCTGGTGTGCACAGTGGGGCCTTAGCCCCTCCCCTGCCTTGGCAGAGGACTGGAGGGTTTTTTCGCTGTGAAGAGGTATTCTGGATGAGCAGACACTAGGGACAGTTGGGAGCGGCAATACTGAACTAAAAACATGGGGTTAAGTGTAACTTTGTGCTCTTGAGACACCCTACTCTCCTCTGCCGCTTGATTCCCAGAGCGACAGGTTGATTCCCAAGGTTCTTCTTGGGGTGCACAACTAGCCCAGGAGAACGCACACTGCTTCATGAAATAGACCACAGGTTCCCAGAGTAAGGACGCTGGTGGACAAATCCCACATTTACAGAACCCCTAGTTAGCTTTTAAATACGAGTTGGCAGCTGGTGATCACCAGACATTCGGAGAAATTATCTAACATGCAAGAGACCAAAACGACAGGAAGAAAAACTAGAGGAAATTGCGGCTCTGCAGGGAGTAGGAAGCCGAAAGCAAAACAGCCTGTCATTAACAGCCTTGGAACTGAGATAAACTGCGTCCATTAAACAAAGCTGAACACCCTAAGAAGGGAACAGAGAACAGAAAAGAGTTCCTGGGAATTAATAACTGCATAACAGAATTGAAAAATTTAAGAGAAAGAAAGGTGAGGTAGTACTCGAGGAAGTACAGCAGAAAGCCCAAGAGAAAAAATAGAGAGAAAGCAAGAAAGTGTGAGGACTGGTCCAGGAGTTCTAACATCCACATAATAGGATTTCCCGAAAAATAACAGAAGTGGAGAGGAAAGAAATCTGAACGAGGGGTTCATAATTATGTGCCACAGACCCAAATAACCCAGCCCATTTTGGAAAAAAAGTTGTATGGAAATAACAGCCAAAGCCTGCTGTTTACATCTCATCCATGCTAAATCAGGAGAGTTGAGTAGTTGTGACAGAGACTGTATGGCCAACAAAACCGAACATATTTATTATCTGGCCCTCTATAGAAGAAAAATTGACTCTATCTAAACAATTCAAAGAAATATCCAGACATGAGTAGATTGAAAGGGCCCAATGAATGAATGCCCAAGGCATTGAATGAAAAATAAGCCACACCAAGGCACATCACTGAAATTTCAGGGGAGTGGGGCCAAACTCTAACACTAAAGAGAAACGTCAAGAATCAGTATGGCATTGGACTTCTCATCAGCGATGCTGGGAGCTAAAAGGTAGTGAAGCCGTTTCCTTAAAAATGCTTGGGAAAATGATTTTCTACTTAAATTCTATACCCAGCAAATGGATCTGTTAAGTGTGAGAGGAGAATCAAGATAATTTAGTACATAGAAAACTCACTAACCCACAAGACAAAACAAACGTTTGGATCAGAAAGGAAAAGTACAGCCCAGGTTTAATGGTGGGCAGTGATTCAGTGCCGTCAGAGTCGTGCACACTGGAGAGGGAGCGTGACCTGAGAGGGGGCCGGCCGCAGGCACAGCACGTGCGCGGGGATTGTGTCTAACAGAAGTCATCAGCAGTGGCTCGAACTAGAGGTTGGGAAGTAAGGCACCAGAAGGACAGGTGGAAGGAGTGAAAGAGGGACTGTCTTCCAGGTTTGATGTCGGTGGTCTTTGGGCAAACTTGGTAGAGCTATCTGACTCTAAGATACATGCATGTGTAACTTTCACAGAAAATGAAAAATAAATTAGGTAAATGATCTATTTCCCCATTCAAAAGGTGTTCAGGGAAAAGTCATAGTTGAAAATTCCTGCCGCACAGGAATTAACTTTTTTTTTTTCCTTTTGTAAAATAGCCAAGTTCAACAGGGGAACAGAAGACTAAACCTACCCAGAACAGTGTTCGGGAACTCAGAGGCCTTGGGCTCTCCCCAGATCTGGTGAGACTTCCTGACGGCCTGGTGTTGGCCTGGCCTGGGGTGTCTGTCTAATTAACGTCTCCTCCGTGGGACACAAGCTCTTTGTTTTCTTGGCATGCTTTTAATTGATGGTGGAGAAGTAAGTCTGGTTCTTGGAACCAGGCCTGTGGTTTACAAAGATTTCCTGACCCGGCACGCGCATGGTCGTGTCTTGTACCTCCCCTCAGTGGTCTTTTATTCTCTCTTCCCTCCTGACCAAGGATGACAGTTGAGTGAACCACAGTTGGCTCTTGTGGCTCAGTAGCCTGTGCGTTTGGGCTGCCACTCTGTTATGTTTTCCACTTGGGGATTCAGGGATCTCGATTTTGCAAACAGGTCATATTGTCACCATGTACATGCATTGTGCTGGGAGTTAGCTTAACTATGTGGTATCTCTTTTAATTGCAATCAGGGGAGAAGCCCAGCATTGTAATCCCTTTGATCCAAACGCCTCGCTCTCTTTACTCCCAGGTTGTGTGCCGGTGCTCAAATCCCCTCGACACAGCAGTGAAGGAGAAAATATCAATGTTCTGCCATGTTGAACCTGAGCAAGTGAGTAGAAATTCCATCTTCACATGAATCATTTTTGTTTCGAATTATCCTGAAGTTTCTTAACTAGTTTCATAAGGCTTGTTGTCATTTTGGGATTTGAGACTGGACTGCTGGCTCCGTGACTCCGTTACCTTGTAGACACAGGTCTCCAAATGAACTTACCTCCCCGGCCCCTTCTCTCCCCACTTCCTGTACTGTTTGCTGTAGCCATACTGAATGGGTGTGTCCCCCGTCTCTCTTGGCCTCACAGTCTTCCTATTCATTTTCTTCCTCTGGGGCCCAGCCAGGACACAGTATTATCTGAGCAGCTTTACCTGCCACACCTCCTCACCCTTGAGCCTCAGGTCTGGGCTCAGAGGGGCAGGCGGTGAGCCCAGCATACTCCCTTTCGTGTGTGCCTTTCTCCTCACAGGCTTTGAGCTCCTGGAGGGCAGGGATCACCCACTCAACTTCCTGTCCCTGGTGCCTGGTGTGTGAGGCGTTGCAGGCTCTAAGCCCATTTTACAGTCTTTTTGTTACCTGTGCTAATGGAGGGTACCTGTGGTACATGAAGTTCAAAATTTTGGAACTGTAATGCATCTAAGTGTGGTGCATGAATGGGAATTCTAGGGGCGATGAGTTGGGATTATAGCTTTGGTCAGGTTTGGTTGACGAAGAGTTTTTATGGATTTGAAGGGTTTTATGGTTAAGTTATGGATGCTTTGTTTTACTGCCAGGTTATGTGAGGATCAGGAGACTGAGCAGGGGAGCCCAGCTGGCTTGGACAGGGGAGAATGAAACAGCAGGGTTAAAGTAAGGGAAATCCATTTACAGACTACCAGGAATATGGAAGTGAATATAGAAATGTTAAAGTCAGTGGCCGGGCTTTGAAGTGGGGGGCTGGAGGAAAGCTGTTCACCACCAGGGAGGCAGCTGTGCTCTCCCAGTGGGGGGATGGCTTCGGGGTGTGTGGGTAGCCTGGGGCCTGCGACCAGGTTCCTGGGTGTGACCCCTGAGGTGAGGTCAAGGGAGCCGTAACCAATAGGGGGAGCAGCAGGATAATTTCATTGTTATGAACAGCCTTTTTACCATGTACTTACATTATCATTATTATTGTTACTAATTTAGCTTTTTGCTATTTGGGAAGCACCGATTCAGGTAGAAGCCCAAATCGTAGAAGCCCAAAACGGTGTTTCAGTTAGAGGGTGAAAGCAGGAGGTTTCTATGAGAAAGCAAAAAAAAGAATAGTTACATGAATAGAAGGAAGGAATTTCTGTTGGCTTTAATGAGTTCAAGAAGGAATTTCTATAGGTGCAAACAAGCTAAATTATTCTTTAGCTGCGCATGGTGGTGCTGATTCTAAACAGTGCCTTTAATTTTTCAGTTCAATAGTCAGAATTTGTATTTTCTTGTTAGCTTTGCAAACAGTTGTTTGGAATGCACTGTTGGTTTGGCCCAGTCCAAAGGTTATTTGCCCTGTTGAAACATTGTGAGGGTTTGCAGAAGTCAGACGTGCAGGGGGTTCCTTTGGGAGCGCAGCTGTGACTTCATTTTGCAGTGGCTGTTTCTCAATGTGAGATTGCAAACCTGCAGAAGATTTTTATCAGTTTCTTTGAGCCAAAACAGAGGACACACCTGGAAGCAAGATCTCAACAGACTGAGAAAAATGCTTCCACACTTCAGTTACTTTAGATACTTCTAATCCTAGCAAATGAAGGTAGTTTAATTTTGTTAAAGAACAGGTTGTCATTAAAATTATTCACTTAAAAAATGTGACAAGTATTTCTGTATTTAAATTTGAACTTCAAATTTTATGCATTTTTAAAGTCGCTTTGCTTATCTGATTGAATTACAAGAGTTCTTTATATATTCTGAATGTAAGTCTTTCATCAGATATGATTTGCATATTTTTTTCCCAGTCTGTGGCTTATCTTTTCATTTTCTTAATGGTATTTTTTGGCACACAGAAGCTTTCACATTTTGATGAACTCCAGTTTATCCATTTTTTTCCTTTATACATTATGCTTTGGTGTCATTTCTAAGCACTCTATTTAACCAAGGTCATAAAGATTGTCTTCTGTGTTTTCTTATAAAACTTTTACAGTTTTTGGTGTTGCAGTTAGGTCTAGGATCCTTTGTGAGTTCACTCTTATATATAGTAACTCTTCAGTAAAAGTTGGAAGTCATCTTTTTGCCCGTAGATGCCTAGTTGTGCTGGCTCCATTTGTTGGCAGGACTATCCTTTAATAATCTGTAATTTTCTTTATAAAGGTGCTTTTTTAGATTTACTTACCTTTGGAGAGTTTTTTAGATTTATTTATAGGTATTTACAATTTACTATATGAATGGCATATTTAAAAAAATTATATTTCCTGATTAGATACAACCCACATATAGGAAACTGCTGTTCTCAAGCCAAGCCAACATTACTAAAATTCTGTTCTGGTTGTTTACCTGCAAATTCTCTTGTTTTTTTATGGATTAAACAATAATATTGTATATAGTTGGTGGTAATTGTTTATTTTTCACTTCATATACATTTTTTCTTATCTAATTGTAATGGCTAATGCCCCTAGTACATCACTGAATAAAAGTAGTGATAGTGGCCAGTTTTGCTTTGTTCCAGACTTTTGCATTAATATTAGATATGAACTAAATGATGTTTGCTATGGGGCTTTTAAAAATATTTTCCCTAAAGTTCCTAATTTACCAAGAGTTTTTATTATAAATAGGTTTTGAATTTTTAGTAAATCTGCATTCACTGAAGTGTTTTTTTCCTCTCCTTTAATCTGTTCATGTAGTGAATTCTGCTGTTAAATTTCCTAATGTGGTGGTTCTCAAACTCTGCTTTGAAAAATACTGATGCCTGCCTCCAACTCCCAGAGCCCCAGCAGGGGCAGCCGTCTCACGGGTTTTTAAGCTTCCCCAAGGGGCTCCAGTGTGGAGCCAAAGTTGAGAACCTCTGTTCTGGGGACAAGCTCCCGTGGACAGGGTTTTTTTTTAGACTACGTTCATAGTTTGGTGTGTGATTTTTTTTTCTTTTGGATATTTTTTTACCCATGTTTATTAGAAATTAGTGACTATTTTTACTTTATTTTATTCCACTTTTAAATTATATTTTATTGATGATGCTATTACAGTTGTCCCCAGTTTTCCCCCTTTGCCCCCCTCGACCCTCACCGCTATTTTAAAATTCTTCTTGCATTAGTTGGTTTTGGTCATTTATATTTCTTTCTAGAAAATTGCCCTATTTTCTGTTTTCAGATTTAGAACAGTTCTTTTCCCAAGGTCATACAGCTAGTAGGAGGCTGTCAGCCCTGTGAGTTTTGACTCATTTTTATTAAATAACCTTTTCTGTTGTTCGAACAGGTGATTTGCGTCCACGACGTCTCATCCATCTACCGAGTCCCTTTGCTACTAGAGGAGCAGGGGGTCGTAGATTATTTTCTCAGAAGACTTGACCTTCCTGTTGAGAAGCAGTCACGAAGGATGCTGATGAAGTGGAAAGAGATGGCTGACAGGTTTGCCGGCAGTTCCAGTCTTGTTCTCTTTATTATTAGGGGCTTAGGGAATTCAACTCTTGTGCTATCAACTCCTGCTGAGAAAAGGTTATAGATGCTAAGGGGCTCTAAGAAAGTCTCTCGGCTGTCGTGTGGTTGCATCATGGGTGAGGAAGTCCTGGTAGAGTTGGCCCAGGTGAGTTCAGATTACACACCTAAACCCTTGTCTCCCGTCAACTAGAAAATCAGTGCAAACAGGCATCCTAGGGGCAGCGGGTCGGAGCACATGCGCAAGGTCCACACATTGGCTGGCCGTGGCTGGCGCACTTCTGGGTGGCATCCCAAATGCCTGAGCTGTGTTTGGGAACATAGCACTTACCCTGCACCAGAAAAGAACCAGCAAAAGTGACAGTCTTTTCATACTGCTGCTGCCAGAACTCGCCACTTTAGCTGTCCCCATTCTCCTCTCCTCCTGAAGCTGTGTAATGTTCACGTGTCACATCAGGTGTCTTCACACAGGGCCTCAGAGCGCTGGGTGTGCCTCACCGTGGGCGCAGAATTAATGTGACAATATTAGTCAGCACTTGGGGAAGAGGAACGTCTCATTTCATTGCTGTGGTGTTTTCATTTTGACATTTTCCCTCTCAGACTTTCCATTTATATGTATACCTTCACGTACCTACAAGAGTGGCACACAGTTTTAGGATCTTTTTCATAAAATATTATAAACACTTTTGCTCTGTTAGTAATTAAGTTTATAGTGGAGATTTTTCATGAATATGGACAATTGTGTGTATATCCTATAATATATTTGAGTATTCACTTCATCAGATTAACTCTTGTGAATTGTTATTTTTTTTGCCCTTTGGCATTTAAATTTTTTGTGAAACAATATATGTGAGATTTTTTCCCTTTTTTTTGAATTTATTGGGGTGACATTGGTTGATAAAGGTTTCAGGTGTGCAGGTCTGCAGTTCATCACCTGTGCACATCGAATTGCATGTTCACCACCCAACCGTGCTTGAGATTTCGACGCCAGCTCTCTGTGATAGCTTCTAAAATTCTCCTGTTTAAAAGCCTGCCACACTGATCTTTTTCCTCTTTACTGTTTGGTACTCAGATAATAGACACTCCCATTAAATTCTTCCCAGACTTGTTTTTCTTCTCTTTGGAAGGATTTTTTTTTAAAAATATTTTATTTATTTATTGAGAGAGGGGAAGGGAAGGAGAAAGAGTGGGAGAGAAATATCAATGTATGGTTGCCTCTCATGAGTCCCCTGCTGGGAACTGGCCTGCAACCCAGGCATGTGCCCTGACTGGGAATCGAACCACGATACTCTGGTTCGCAGGCCCACGCTCAATCCACTGAGCTATGCCAGCCAGGGCTTGGAAGGATTTTTGACTTCATGTTTGTATGTACATTCTAATAACTTGTTGTTTCTTGACCTTTGGTTGACAGATACGATCGCTTGCTGGAGACATGCACTATTGCCCTTGTGGGCAAGTACACCAAGTTCTCAGACTCGTACGCCTCTGTCATCAAAGCTCTGGAGCATTCTGCACTGGCCATCAACCACAAGCTGGAGATCAAGGTAAGGGGGCAGGGCCAGGCACGGCCAAGGCATGGACAGGGAGGCCATCGGCTGTCCCCTGTGTGCTGCATATCTGCTTTATGGTTTCGGAGCTCAGAATTTCTTTGTAGGAGTAGACAGGACTTATGGTGGGCTCCTGGCTTAAGAACAGCAGAGCGTTTTCAGGAGATAATGAAGGGGAAAGGTGGTCAGAGTAGAAGTTGAGGGACAGTGAATGCTTGGGCTTGAATATCAAGTGACCGAGTAAAATGCCCCATGGGGATGGGGAGCCCTGGCTGGCCAGCTGCGCTTTGAAAATTGCTGGTTCCAGTTCCCTCGTCTGTGAAGTGGGAAGGCTGGTACCCGCCCCGTAGGGCTGGGAGGTTTCTCAGAAATACGTGTCCAGTTGCCTGGTCAGTGCTGGGAACCTGGGCGGGACCCAGGAATAGCAGTTGGGAGTTCTGCTCTGTGCCACGGAGGGCAGAGCCGAGCTGGTGCAACGTCAGCGCGTGGCCCTGGCCCATCTCCTTGCGGCAGCTGAGCGCGGAGAGTGGTTCGTGGGTTCCAGAACCACACAGCCAGAGCTCAGATTCTGGCTTCATTGCCTACAAGATATGTGACCCTGGGCAAGTTAGTTAACCCTCTGTACCTCAGTTTCCTCCCCTTTAAAAAGGGGTAGTGATAGCACCTTCCTCCTCGGGTCATTAGAAGAGTTAAATGAGTTCACATGAAGTGCCAAGTACCGTGCCTGGCATGGAGGAAGTATTGTATGTGTTCACTCTTCCAGAGAACCTTCCACCTGTCCCTTTCATACTGTTTCCCCGGCGGCATAGCTCCTGGCTGGGGCTTCTCAGGAGGAGATGCGCTTGCCAAGGACACTGGGGTTTGCCCCCTATGTCTCCAGGGGTTTCCCAGCGTAATAATCTAGTTTGCTTTGTGTCGGTGAACAGATTCCTGTAGGAAGACCTGTTACGCATTTTTTAAGAAATCCGGGACCTCATTACACTGCTCTGACCTGTTTTTGCTAGTTCTTTGGATCATTCATTGGTTTATCCACTCGGAGGTGGCCTGTGCCTATTGTGTGTTAGATGGTAGAGGTGAGAGGTGACTATGATGGCGGTGGGGTCTCTAAGGTGTGACAGGGCCACACAGAAGATGGGTGATCCAGCCTCGGTAGGTGTGTGAGGTTGGTGGACTTCCTCATGGAGGGACACCTGGGCGAGCTTGGGAAGATGCGTGGGGCAGAAGGGAAGGGCCTTTCCAACAGAAGGTAGAGCATATCCAGGGGCCTGGAGCAGGGACGAGCGGGGAATGGGAGGAGTCTGGAGGCGGGCCGGCCAAGGCCTGGTCATGGGTGTCCTCAGCTGGGCCACGCCTGGCTCTTGCCTCCGTGTTCAGGGAAGTCAGGGCAGGAAGAAATAGGCAGCTGAACAATCTAATTAAAAATGGGTAAAAGATTCAAACAGGCACTTTCATAGAAGTTGCCCACAGTATATGTGAAAAGATGCTCAACATCTTTTATTTGTCAGGGAAATAAATGCAAATGCAATCACAGTGAGAGACCAGCACACACTGGCCAGAGTGGCTGAGAGTGTAGGTGAGGACATAGAGCTCGGACCGTGCTGGTGGGAGTGTAACGTGGTGCGACCACCTTAGAAAACAGCCTGGCAGTTTCCTGTGAGGTTAAGTGCACACTTACTGTGTGACCCAGCAGCGCCACTCCCAGAAATTTACTCGAGACCTGAAAACATGTCTACAAAAATACTTTTATATAAATGGGCCAGTTATTCATGAGAGCCAAGATCTGGAAACAACCCAAAGGTCCAGAGCAAGTCAGTGGATAAACACGTTGGGGTCTGTTCCTGCTCAGTAATAAAGAGGAACGTACTGTGATAGACACAGCAACACAGATGAATCTCAGAAACGTGCTGAACAAAAGAAGCCAGACAGAACCGGCTCCATACTGTGTGGTGCCAGTTACATGACGTTCTAGCAGATGCAAGATGCACCTGCAAGATGCACCACACCTGTGGTGAACGGAAGTGGCCAGGAGGTGGTTCACAGGGGGGTAAAGGGCTTTTCTGGGGATGGCAATACCTTTTTATAAGTGGATCGCGGTGGGGGTGGGGTCACACCACTGAGCGAGTGATAAAATTCATCAGAGTGGTCCACCCCTTGTCTACCTGAGGCCTGGGACAGATACTGTGCTTACGTTTTACTGTATGTAAATTCAACTTTAATGAAGTTGAAAACGATGAAAAGCAATCCAGGTGGAAGATGGCCGGGGGAAGGTGGACCACAGAGGACACTCGGAACCTGCTGCAGCAGCTCCTAAACAGAGTGCCTGAGCGGACGGAGATGGGTTAGGGAGTGAAAGGATTTTGAAGGAAATGCTTGTGTTTTAAAATAGAAGAAAGATTTTAGTGTTTATTTTAAGTGATTACTAGGTTTAAATCTGTTAAGAGTATCATTTTAAAACGTTGGAAATTGAGCGAGAAAGGACATTGGTAATACTGCATAGCAGTTACGAAAGAGCGCGGCTCTGGAGTCACAGCCGCCCCTTTCCTCTGCCCGCTGCTCCCAGTACATCGACTCCACGGACCTGGAGCCGAGCACCTTGCAGGAGGAGCCCGTGCGCTACCATGAAGCCTGGCAGAAGCTCTGCAGCGCCCAGTGAGTAGCTCTGCCTCTGCTTTCCAGGGAATTGGGTTTTTGTTTGTTTGGTTTTGGATTTTATTTATTTATTCTTAGAGATGAGGGGAGGGAGGAAGAGGGAGAGAAACACCACTGCTCAGTTGCCTCTCGTGTGCGCTCCGGTGGGGGCTGAACCCGCAACCCAGGCGCGTGCCCTGACCAGGAATTGAACCTGCGACCTTTCACGTTGTGGGACGATGTCCAACCAACAGAAGCCACATGGATCGAGGCGGCTTGGGGTGGTTTCAGTGCACAAAATGCTGTGCTTTCATGTGCTGGTGGTAAATCTGCTTGTTGAACCGTCTTTTACTTATGAAAAGCCTACATTCTGGATGATTTCGTCTTTACCAAATACACCTTATCAGTGCAGTTGAATCTGAAGAGAACCTGTTCTCATTTCATTGATACTCTTCGCTGTGTGCATCTATCGATGAGGCTCATTTAAAGCTTTCCACCCAGAAGGTCTGACGAGTGTCTGTTAGTAGAGGATCCTGAGTAGTTTGTTTTCAGCAGCTGCTGTTAACAACCCTAAAACACGAGCAGGAGTTTCTAGTTCACGAGAAGAACTGACTGTGACTGCCCCGGTGGCTGAGGCCCGGGGTGGGCGTGGCGCTCTGTGCCGATGAGGAAAGGCCTCCCTACCCAGGGAGCACCGTAGGCCAAGAGGTTAAAAAACTGTGTTTATGTGAATACAGATGAAAAACTAGGAAAGAGACCATGCCTGTGACGGAGGCCGTGGGGTGCAGTGTTTCACTGTTGTGTAGCATCTTGTTTCCCCTCGTTGTGAGCACGTTGTAGCGTCACTAAGGAAAGTCCGCGGTTCTGTGTGTGCTCGGAGTTCGTGGTGTCTGCATTCAGCTTGTTGGCAGTCCTGCAGTCGCAGACATTGTCTAGTGCGGGGTGTGCAGACTAACCTTACCATGTCTGCATCCGGGAACTGGCTTCTGGGAGGTGATCGGGAGCCAGACTGGTGGAAGGGGGGTCACCTTATGCTGTGCTCTCTTGTGCAGTGGAGTGCTGGTCCCTGGGGGATTCGGCGTTCGAGGGACGGAAGGGAAAATCCAAGCTATCGCCTGGGCTCGGAAACAGAAGAAGCCTTTTTTGGGTAAGAAGTAGGAAGGAACACGAGGAAGGTGCCAGCAGGAGTCTGTAAGTGAAAGGGATCCGCACAGCCAAAGGCAGGCCTGTTTGGTTCTCTTGGGGAGAAATCCCCAAGATGATTTAAGAGATCCCCAAATCCTCCTTGAAGATGGGAAGTTTAAACTTTGAGTTGCGTGTAGATGTGGTGGAAGCCTCAAAGAATGAAATGTCAGGAAATCTTGGTTATTTACTGAACTTGTCTTCTGGGCAAGACACATTGGAGACTGTTTTCCACCCTCACATGAAGCAGCAGCGGGCTGTGATTGGGTGAGGTGACTTGGGGGCAGGGAAACTTGACCTTTTGATGTACTGAATAGAATATTGTTTATTTCTAAAATTGAACGACTTCCCAAACCTGGAGTCTTCACATACACAAAGATCCAGTGTTTGAAATCCGATATGGACAAAACGTAGCCGGGTGCCCGTCTACAGCAGGGAGTTAGGAGGGCTTGTGATGAGAGTGTTGGGGACCAGCAGCTGGTGGGGTGTGGGTGCCGCCTTTTCAGCGGGGCTTCATTTGTTTTCCTCTCCCATCTGCAAGGCGTGTGCTTAGGAATGCAGCTGGCAGTGGTGGAATTTTCAAGGAACGTGCTGGGATGGCAAGGTAAGTGTCTACTTAAAAGCTTGTTAAACTCCTGCTTCCATGTTCCAGGAGGGCGTGAAGGCCGGTGCTTTTTGGGTCATCGGGGGCCGTGGAGAAGGACTGGCCCAGTCTCTCAGTACCTCTCGGGGCCTATTAACGGGACCTTTATTGAGGGAGGGCGCGGCTCCTCCAGGCAGAACCCCGGGAAGGAGGGAGCATGGCTGAGGTCACTCTCTGACTCCGTATTTCCTGCTGTGGAGATCCTCACACTTCGGTCGCCATGACCGTCATCCCCGAGCTGGTGTCCAGCAATAAAACTCCGCTTATGTGAGGTTGTGCAGTTATTATGAACTCGGGCTGTGGGGCTGGTCAGACCAGGGCTCAAATTCTGACTTTACCACTTGTTATGGACGATTCGAGGCAAATTCCTTAGCCTTTCTGGGCCTCTGTACCTTCTGTAAAAGGGGGTGATACTGGTATCCATTTCACACGGTTGCAAATGGTAAATGAAACAGTGCACTCGGGCAGGCCCAGCGCAGGGACGGCAGACAACAGTCCTGCTGGCTCCACGCCTGGCTGCCTGTGTCACTGTGTCCAGTCCAGCCCACGGCCTGATGGCCTCCAGCACAGTAGTTTATGTCTCTGTTCTGTGGTGTGACTGGTGTTCTGCGCCATGTGGCAGCTCATCAATTACTAATTCAACCTGAGCTGCCTCACAGTATGGAGACCGACCAACTTCCAAATGACAAGCCCAGTGGGCAAGCACGTGATGAGCTCGCTGGTGTCCCCTGGCCGAGCTCAGAGCAGGTATGGGGGAACAACCACGAAGTGAATCGGGGGGTGTGGTTCACTGCATCCACCACTGGACGAGTCTGCCACAGCCCCTCATTCCCTGTAGTCCAGCTGACAGTAGCTTTTCAGAAAGACCTCCTGAGTTCTGAGAAAAAGAACCAAAGCAACCCGAAGAACGTATAAGTGTCTGGCTTTACGAAGTACGTGTGATTCTTCTGTGGCCAGCCTGCTGGTAACGGCTGGGCTCATTCCCGTTTTTCCTGAGAGGTCACCTCTCGGTAACACCGCGGGTGGTGGCCCGCTCTCATGGGCAGCGGGCCCAAGCTTCCGGCTGCTGAGCAGGTGCCGCCTGACCACCCCCTGCCCCCCTGGAGCTGCTCCTCTGGGCACTGTCACCCCTTTGCAGCTGTCACTTCCTGCCACCACTCACCTTCCCTGGAGGATGAGTAGCTTGGCTCTTTTCCTTCCAGTCTTTAGTGGTTTTGCTTATGCTCAATTCAGCAAAAGATAGAAAGGTTTTATAGGTTTTTCAAATCGGCTGGTTTCTGACGTAGCTGTTGAGTGAGGCAGTTGAGCAGGGCAACGTGTAAGATGCTGAGGATGAAGAAACAGGGCTCGCCCGTCCCGGACGGAGACGGTCTGAGACGGAAAGCGGACGCACTTGAGGCCACAGTCGGTTTCCGCCTCGCCACTTTGTACGGCTTCGACTCCTCCCGGAGAGTTACGGGTTTAATGGGAAAAATGTGCTTGTGTGTATATTTTTATATCTTTAAAATATTGTCCCAATTTTTTATTCTAATCACTGAATGACTTTCAATAGGAGGGAAATTGTGATTGTGAGCTTAGGAATGAAACTTACAAGAAATCGGATTTGTTTGTAAATATTTTCATAGCACAGATATTTTGATTTTTCAGATGCCAATTCCACAGAGTTTGACCCCAACACCAGCCATCCTGTGGTGAGTGCAGTGCTGGCCTCTCGCCAGGGCTTGGAGGGCGGGACTGGTCGCTGATGAAGGTGGTTGGTGGTTGGACACAGGCAGTGAGGCCACGTGGGTGCGTCCCCGAGAACCCCGTGTTCCTGATTCTCAGGCCTGCTGCGTGGGAGGGACTTCCTTATTCTTGTATAATTTCTCACTGCTCTTCCCAGATTGCCACAGAAGGTTTTAAGGACAGGTGCCCCCCCCAGCCAGCTCAGGGGATCCTGACTGAAATAATTCCCCATCCCAACTCCCCTTAGCTCCCAGGAGCACTTCATAATAACACTGATACGGAACACGTACAGGCTCTTATCACGTGCTGGGCACTGTCTACTGCTTTATACACAGGGGTGGGCAAAAGTGGGTCAGCAGTTGTTCATCTGAGAAACTGTAATACAGGAATAAACAGTAACACAGAAATTGTTCTGTGCGCTCACAACTGTAAACCCCCTGTAGCCCACCCCCGTGTATTGATTCATTGAATTCCCCACACCGCTGGGAGGTGAGCATATCATTAAAGAACTTCTGGAATGTAGCACCAGTTTGTTTCATGGTCGCCAGAGCCTTTGGAGACCAGCGTGCCTTGAGTTCTGTCTGGCTCCTCCCAGAGGAGCGTGGCTCCTCCCAGAGGAGCGTGGCTCCTCCCAGAGGAGCGTGGCTCCTCCCAGAGGAGCGTGGCTCCTCCCAGAGGAGCGTGGCTCCTCCCAGAGGAGCGTGGCTCCTCCCAGAGGAGCGTGGCTCCTCCCAGAGGAGCGTGGCTCCTCCCAGAGGAGCGTGGCTCCTCCCAGAGGAGCGTGGCTCCTCCCAGAGGAGCGTGGCTCCTCCCAGAGGAGCGTGGCTCCTCCCAGAGGAGCGTGGCTCCTCCCAGAGGAGCGTGGCTCCTCCCAGAGGAGCGTGGCTCCTCCCAGAGGAGCGTGGCTCCTCCCAGAGGAGCGTGGCTCCTCCCAGAGGAACGTGGCTCCTCCCAGAGGAGCGTGGCTCCTCCCAGAGGAACGTGGCTCCTCCCAGAGGAACGTGGCTCCTCCCAGAGGAACGTGGCTCCTCCCAGAGGAACGTGGCTCCTCCCAGAGGAACGTGGCTCCTCCCAGAGGAACGTGGCTCCTCCCAGAGGAACGTGGCTCCTCCCAGAGGAACGTGGCTCCTCCCAGAGGAACGTGGCTCACGGGCGAGGACGGTGCCTCATTTGTCTTTGACCCCCTGGCTCAGGGGCGGCAGGCTTGTTCTTGACACTGAGAAAGCTGCATTAAACCGGATGGGCAAAGCTCTTGGTGTCAAGGCGCTTCGACATCATCAGTATATGTGTGTTGGCCTGAAATTGAACTTTGCTAATACCAAGACTGCAGGAGAAAGTCAAAGGTGTTGAAATGTGGGGGCGGTGGAGGCGCGGGGCACGGGTCAGACAGCACAGGGGACATGTGTGACCCCAGTCCTGTCCCATGTACGTGCAGTGGCGTTCGTCTTTGTGAGAACTGCCGCCGCCCAGCAGCACGTGTGGGCCCAAGCGCTGGGCACAGGAACGGCCTGCCGCTCACCAGAACCAGCCAGAGGATACAGCCCCTATGCAGTGATGGTTTAGAAATACTCATTGGGAGGCATTTTCCCCTGTGACAAACCTCTTCTACAAGGACAGACTGGGGAAGGAGGGCTTCCTCACGGGCTGGTGCCGGCGGTCCGTCTACAATGGAAGCAGCCTGCCAGTGCGCGTTTGTGTTCCACACCTGCAGGTCATAGACATGCCAGAGCACAACCCCGGGCAGATGGGCGGGACCATGCGGCTGGGCAAGAGGAGGACCCTGTTCCAGACCAAGAACTCCGTCATGAGTAAGAGCGGCCTCCCCCGCCCCCGAACTGGCCCAGCCTCGGGCTCGGCTCCTCCAGGACGCACGTCTTGGGGTGGTGCTGGGCTCTGGGGTGTCTGGTTCTGTTCTTGCTTGAGCAGCTCTCGTCCCTTCCCAGCCGTGCACCGTTGTTGGGCCACACCGGAACAGGCGAAGCCTCGGCGGCATCAGGAAGCTGCAGGCAGTGGGGGCAGGGCCGGGGGACCGTGGGCGTGGGTGTGTCACCAGAGTGAGGCAGTTTGGTGAAATCCATTGTAATCTGTTCCTTTCCTTACCTAATCTGTGAGATAAACCATATGAAATTGCTGATGTTGGCAGTTTCTGTCCCCCCCAAAAAAGAAAATGAAAATGGCAGTTTCATAACGTTCAACCTAGGTAGATTTAATTCTAAAAATACTTGCAGGTGCTAAAGATTTAGGGAAAATTTGGGGCGGAAAATATTTTTAAAAATTAAGATATAATTTTCTTGCCTGCTGGGAACATTCTCTCTATACAGGGTGGGGCAAAACAGGGTAACAGTTGTTCATATGGAAAACAATACAGTACTTAAATAAGGTACCGGAGTGAACGGCCCCGGGTACTCGCAGCTGTAGCCCAAGTCCGCCCTCCCCTGCAGCAGCAGAGGCAGCTGTGTGTCTGTAGGGTCTGGGGCGTGATCTGCAGTCCCTCCATCTGTAACGCTCTGCGGGGTTGGGGCTCGCACCCGGCCACCCCCAGCATCTTGTGAAACAGTCCACTTGCCAGTGCAGCACTTACTTGTTCACGGCAGCCCCCGGGTACTGAGGGTCTGGACGACTGACTGAACTGCCCAGCGCTGGCCCTGACGGGCACCGGTGTGCCTCCTAATGCAGCTCCCTCGGGGCTTAGGACGTTTGCTGCATCCTGGTTTGTTCTCCAAGGCAGTTTCCAGCAGAAGCGCTTTGTGCCTCAGGTTGGCGGGTGGCGATTCAGTCTGTTTCTGTCAGTGGGTCGTGCTGTGGTCGAGAAGAGTCAAAATCCAGACTTAGTCCCTGTTGCGCCGCTCCCAGCTGGTGGCCGTGGTGGGCGGGAGAGTCCCAGCAGTAACCTGCAGAGGCCTGACCGTGTGGATGATGAAAGGAAAGTGGAAAGCAGGATGTGGTTGTGAATAGGTTTTTTATTTTTTGTAAAATCAATTCTTTACATTACATCAGCTTACTTGCCTTTTTTTTTTCCTTTGGCCAGGGAAGCTCTATGGGGATCCAGATTACTTGGAAGAGAGGCACCGCCACAGATTTGAGGTGAGGAATTGAGATTTGTGACTTTTGAAATAATCTTCTTTCTCTTACTTTGGGAACAGTAAGCTGAGAAATTATTCTTCGTTCATCAACAGGTGAACCCAGTCTTGAAAAAGTGTTTGGAGGAGCAAGGCTTGAAGTTTGTTGGCCAAGACATTGGAGGAGAGAGGATGGAAATCGTGGAGTTGGAAGGTCATTACTTGGGCTGTTGTATTTAACGGAAAACTTAGTGAGGTTTCCTTGGTATGTGGGAAAATATGAAAATGTTAGTTGTTACCCTCGACCTCCCATAGTTGGAAAGCAGCACTGTTTTGGGGGGCAGGGGCGTCTGGAACCCTGGGACGGCAGGGTCCCCAAGGATGAGCTTCGTGCCGTGGCGTCTGTGGGCAGCTGTGTCTGACCTCTGGCCTCGGTCCCTTGTTCTCTGGGATGAGAGTGCGGACTTGGTGTGTGAGCCCCTTTCTAATCTAAGGTGATCTGCACGATGCAACCCCTTGGAGGTCCGGGGTGCCAGGGACAGGAACCAGGAGAAGAGGTCCCTTCACCGGGAATGTGACAGAGTGCGGGGAGGGGGCTTCACATCTCCCATGCCTTGTGCTTGCTTTTACCCAGGCTCTGATCAAGACACTGTTTTCAGATAATCACAGTGTTTGTGGGAATGTGAAACATTTAACAAGCTTTTTCTCCTTGTCCGAAATTGACATGCACACACATAGCGAAGCCCTCTCTCTTGCATCTTTATTTCAGAGCACCCCTTTTTTGTCGGGGTTCAGTACCACCCCGAGTTCCTGTCCAGACCTATCAAGCCATCCCCGCCGTACTTTGGCCTCCTCCTCGCCTCCGTGGGGAGGCTCCAGCATTACCTCCAGAAAGGCTGCAGACTCTCGCCCAGGTGGGTCCGCCTCTCCAGTCCTTCGGGTGGTCTCGGGTTCGTGACGGCGAGCCGTCGCCCCCTAGTGGGGAGCAGAGCCACAGGAGCCAGGGTGCTGCTGTGGGGCCGTGACCTTCCCCTTGCACTGTGGTCAGGCCCCCCATCCGCAGCATTGGGGTTCTGGGGCTACATCTGTAAGTAGGACCCTACGGTCCCAGGGGAGCTGTGGCTTTTCCCAGGGTGCTGGCCAGGGCCCGGGCAGTGTCACATGCCTGTGCGCCTTAACCCAGAGCCTGTTAGTTACTCTGAGCTGGTAGCTGGGGGATCACAACTGAAGCGTGACTCCCATGTGTATCTTGTGTAACTAGAAGTTCTACAGCTTTATGCTGAATGTGTCGCGCCATGCAGGGTCTTTCTGACATCTGCTGTGTGCAGACGAGTGTCCTTGTGGTAATGAGGACGCTCGCAGAGACAGGCTTAGTGGGTTATCGGTGGGAGATGATGACCAAGCTGTGTGGGCTCTACAGGGACACGTATAGTGACAGGAGCGGGAGCAGCTCCCCTGACTCGGAAATCACCGAACTGAAGTTTCCATCAGTAAATCACGACTGAAGGTAACGTATGTATTTTTAAGCTTTAGTGGTTTTTTTTTATGGAGGTAACCCTAGAGTTGCAAGAATGCCATGAGTTTAGTGTTGAAATTTTCATCTGCCAGAGACTGAAATGGTGAGGTTGGCGTGGGCATCAAATGGGTGCGGCCCCTCCCGGTACAGGCCGTGGCCCACCCTGCTCCCGGGGCTCCAGGCCTGGGCGGCTGTCTCCTCGCCGGTTGCTGCGTTCAGGTGCCAGTCTGACCGAGCCCCGGAGAACTGGGTTCTTAGCCATTCGATGCTCCCTGTGTCCATGAACTAGAGATCCTGAGGGGGAGGCGAGTGTGGTATTTGTCATTTTTGCAGAGCCTCAGCTTTCATCAGGAAGTGCTTTAAGAATTACACGTGCAGCACTTTAATGTTAATTGCTGCTTAAAGTCCAAACAATCTTTGAACACACTCGGCACGTTAGTCTTTACAGTGACAGGGCACGTGAGTCCTCACAGCACGGCAGCTGCACGCACCGCCGTGAGGGGGGTGAGGTCCTGCCCGGGCAACTGCAACTGCGTGAACTGTGGCAGCTGCAGCACAGTCTCCTGCTCAGGGTATCGGGGGTTTGGGGGTGTCAGTCAGGGATCTGTGGGGTCTGCAGGGAGAGCCAGGGATGTGGCATGGTCTCATATTTGGGGTGAGGATCCCCTCGCAGTTAAGAGGAGCTCTTGCCCAGGGCACGGGCAGGTAGCCTCCTTGGCTCCTGCGTACCTTGCGTTCACCACCAGTGGGCTCTGCTTTGCACAGATCTGGTCGAATGGGCACACAGCCAGTGATAACTGGAATGAGGTGGGTGGGCGAGAGGGGTGGACTCGTATGGGGAAGGGGGTGGTGGTTGCTTAGCCACCCCAGGGCGAGTGTGTAGCCCCCAGGGACTGGCCAATGCTGTCCACATGATGGTGTGCGAGAGGCTGGTCCATAGTCTAAGAAACTGCAGCAGAGAGAAGAAACTTCAGTGGTCGGGGCACAGGTTTGGTCAGTGAGGTGGGATCTCTGCAGGCCCCGCTGGGTGGGGCGCGCTGCCCGCGGCACAGCTAGGAGGCGGTGCTGTGGGACGAGCTCCTACTGGGGCGGATGCAGGGGCCCACGTAAGATCTCAAAAATCTACAACTTCAGAGGGGTTATGAATTTAGCTTGTAATTATCCTTTTAGGCTCCTACTACTGGTCTTCAAAGAAAAAGACATAGTTTATCCCAGCAGCTGATAAAAATCCTGACTTTTCTACTTTAACATACATCTAACAGAATTGCTAATTTATTTTTATTTTTCTTTTAAGCAGGGGTGATTCTTCAAGAGAGTCTTCAGACTTTGGGAGTTTACAGCTTTGATTTTACACTCAGCTTTTGACACTTCCTTTAAATTATGTTTTTATTAAGAATATTTTATTATGGGGGAAAGGTGTGTGGAGGACTATGTGACTCGCATGTCCCGTCATGTGCATCGGCTCCTACACGGTGTGAGGCCTGGTGTTGGCGCTCTCCATGTCAGTCCCCCAGCCTCAAACGAGAAGCAGGACATCTGGGCAGGAGTGGGTGACAGACGGGGCTGGCTACCAGGAGTCTGGGTTCGAGAGCGCAGCCTGCCTCCCCAGGGAGGCCCAGAGCGATGTAAAGAGTTTAACGCGGAGGGGGTTGTGGCTAACACGGCACTCGGTGCTGGCGACCTTGCCGCCAAGGGCAGTGACACCAGAAACAGCCTTGGCACTGCCCTGTGCCGTGGGGACTCTCCGTGCCCACTGTGGCTGGTACTCGTTCAAAGGGACGGCCAGTTTGCTGTCACACGAAGTGGCAGTAAGTCTGTGTCTCTGAAGCCCAATTTTAAATCCCTGCCCTCTGGCTGTGCTTCTCTCCTGGGGCTGGGAAACACTCCTTGCATCAAGGGGTCGCTTAAAAAGGAACAAAGAATTTGGGGGGAAGCTGCCTCTAAAACCCTCTCACATATAGACAGCTTTGCTTGAAGCGATTCTTCCTTCCAGGGCGGCGTTACTGCGGTTGAAAGGCCATATGAAGCTCTATTTTCTTCACTTGGTGTCATGATAGGCACTGCTGTGTGCCCATTATATTCTGGCTGGACTTGTATACTCTAACTTAAGAAATAAATAATGCAGAACAAGAGCTTCGCACTGTGTTTGTGATGCCGCTTCTGTCACGGCCGGCGGAGCTAAGTGCCAGGCATGTCTGTGTGCGGTCGGTCACCTGACCTGTCAGCACCAGGCTCTCCTCCAGGTGGGCAGCCTCAAGTGGAAGATCCGATGGTTCAACATTCAGAAACTGCGAGGAGCCCCGGCTGGGTGGTCGGTCGATGGGAGCGTTGTCCTGCACACCAAAAGGCTGCGGTTCGATCCCTGGTCAGGGCACGTACCTGGGCTGTGGGTTTGGTCCCAGTCAGGGTGTGACAGGAGGCAGCCAGTCCGTGTTTCTCACATCGGTATTTCTCTAAAATCGATTTAAAAAAATAGCCTCAGATTTAAAAAATTCAGAGAGGAGACTTTTTTTAAAAGTGGGAACTAGAATTTCCCAAAAGACATCACATTTAGGTTCTCAGCATACAAAGATAAGAGATTCTAAGACGCGTGGGCGCTGTGCATGGTCTGATCCTGAGAAAGGGGCAGTGGACGTGTTATGAAGACAGCCCTCCCGCTGCCGGGCCAGACCCGGGTCCCCACACACGGGCCCGGGGCCGCAGGACTGCCTCGTGGGTCCTACTCCCTGAGCTCGGAGTCCAGGTCGTGGCCCTCCCTGGGTGGTTTTTCCTTTGAACTTAGCGATGCCGGCGCTGTGGCTGCTGAGCACACCCTCTCATGAACAGTCTCCTCTGCAGAGGCTTGGAGCTCAGGCCGGGTTGTTTGTTGGTCAACAACTGTCACTCATTCACCTCTGAGAAACCAGGGATGGAGGAGAAAAGGTTTCTTTCTCACCATTGCGTTCCCCCATCAGAGACCCAGAAAGGAAGTGGGTCCCTTTTATCCTTCACTGACTAGTCCAGGGCCACCGTCACTGCTGAGGCCCAGAAGCTGCCGTTCCTCCTCCTGACCAAGAGCAGCCCAGCTGCCTGTGACTCTGTCTCATGGCCAACATAAAATGCCTTCACTTTCGGTGGCCTCCGCACTCGTCTGGCACAGTACTCTGAGGGGGGCTTATCCGGTGAACTCGCCTCTCCCTAGAAGGCCTGCGGTCCCAGCAGACAGTCATCAGTTCTGTTTGTAAGGGCTGCTCCCTGGACTGAGGGCTCTGACCAGCTGGTGGAGAGGTGGCAGCGGCAGTGGCCCCGGGGAAAACGCCCTGGGTGGTGCGAGGTGGTTTGCAGGAGCCACAATGGTTAGATGTCCCCCACCCTGCCTTTAAGAGTGCCCCAGATGACCAGCTGTTAGGTGCTAGTCACTTGCACGACTTTCTAGAACAGGGACCCCAATGCCTTTCCATGGCTTGGGAAGCCTGACCAACCTTGCCAACCAGCTGTGTGGAGGAGACTGTACTAGGAATGAGACTGCATCGGAGGGTGGTCTTCCATGCCCAGTGTCCACTGACCAGCACCCAGAGGCTTTGTGGGAGGAAGCCGGGTGAAGGTCTTCTGGTGTCCAACCCAGGTGCTCGGGGCTGGTCCTGAGCAGCCTGGAGTGGCTCCGCTGCAACTTGGCTGCACCTGCCTTGGTAGAAACCAGCTGTTTCCCAGTCAGAGCATTTCTGAGGATTGTGATGCCTGGGCTAGCATCTGTCATGGAAGCAGGAGGGGGTGGGGCGTGTAATTTAAAATAGAGTGGGGCCCTGGCTGGTGCGGCTCAGTGGACTGAGTACCAGCCTGCAAACCAAAAGGTTGCTGGTTTGATTCCCAGTCAGGGCACATGCCTGTGTGCAGGCCAGGTTCCCAACAGGGGGCGCACAAGAGGCAACCCCACACTGGTGTTTCTCTTCCTCCTTCTTCTCTCTAAAAATAAAAAAAATCTTTAAACAAAAAAGTTGGTCAGTGTTGCTGGAGTGCACGAGCAGGGGCTGGAGGAGGCGTTGAGGGAGGATGGGTCAGGTCAAGGACAACCACGTAGATCATGGTGTGGGTTTTGCTCAAGGTAGTGGGGAGCTCAGGCCTGTCCTGATTCAGATGCTGCCTTTCTAGTGTCTCTGGCTCTGTTGGTGGAGGTGGTTGTGGGGAAATGGCTGAGCGAGACTGCTCCAGTGGCCAGAGGGTGCTTGGAATGGAAGTCTGACCCTTTTGGGGCAGGAGCTGTTATGTGCTGGAGAGATGGCACAAGCCTGAGGATGACCAAGTGCACTGTTAGCTGCAAGGAGGTAGCACTTTACCCCAAAGTGCCCAGTCATGAGGCAGAGCTGGGCTGGAACCTGCCCATCTGGGCTCCTTCCCCCTCCTCTGTGTGGTAAGAACCCAGGGCTGGCTTGGCCTCCTGGACAGAACTGGGTATGGGACTTGTAGCCCAGCTGCATCCAACTGGCTGGCCAGGTGTCCTTGAAGTAATCATTCCTGCCCCAGGTTCCTGTAGTTTATTAAAAAGCTACACGAGTCACAATTTCCAGCATGCCAGGCGTGGGGGCTGCAAGGTAGCCTGTTTGCCCTGCAGCCACAGTTAGCGATGCTCCTTGCCATCTGCAAGGGGGATTTCCCAAGACCACAAATGCCTTTCTGGCCTTGTCTAGCCAACAGGAGTCCATAGACCCCAGCCCGGGCAAGATGAGCACAGTAGGGGCAGGGAGGGTCCCTTCTATCTCAGCCTTAGTATAGCTCTGGCCAGGTTTTTACAGGTTCTTTCTGAAGGTAAGGTTCCTTGGAGATCATGCTAAAAGCAATTTCTTAGCTACCCAGTCCGGGGTCTGCTCAGGATTGAAGCCACGTGGGGACCAGCCCGTGCATGTGCAGTGCTCCTGAAGGAGTGCCCTCTGAGTAGCCAGATGGGTTTATTGGGAGGACTTTGGCTCCAATTGGAAATCGCAGCGTCTCCCAGGGAGAGCGGCAGCTTCACCCCTGCCCTCACTGGCCCCTGGGGCTTCACAGGACGCAGCAGATGCAGGAGACGGGGCTGCGCTGCTGCAGCTGCTGCTGGAGCTGCTCCTTCTCCTCCATCAATGCCTTCACCCTCTGCTCCAGCTTGCTCTGCTCTGCTCTGCTGCCCACTTCTGCGGGGACATCATAGAAGCAGATGTCTCAGCCAGCGATTTTCAACCTTTTTCATTTTGTGGCATGCAGAAGCTAATTACTAAAACTATGTGGCACATGAAATACAGTTTTTGCCAGTCTGACAAATAGGTATAATTTTGATTCATTCACACCAGACGGCTATTATTGTGTTCATTGTTGTCATTTTTTATCTGACAGTTTCAGGGAGAAGAGGTCAGTGCCCCTGACTAAATCGTCAGGTGTTGAACATTTAAAAAATTCTTGGGGCACCCCAGCTGAAAATTGCTGGCCTAAGCTGACTTCCTCTCAGGTGCTCAGACCCTCCTCCTGGGGTTGAACTGATGGAGAAGGCAAGGCTCAGGGAGCCTGGGGTGCTTGCTCAAGGCCACTCGGCACGGGGTTGACCCTGCGAGGTGGAGAAGTCAAGTCCTCTGGCCATGCAGCCACCCCTGGCCCAGTCAGCCCTGGGGTTTTAAGGAAGCCGAGCATCCCAGGCCCTGGGAGGACCCATCCTCTGCAACCTCCCTGAGTTCCAGAGGCAGGCTCAGATTGGCAGGCCCTTCCGTCTCCCGCCACTGCCCATGTCCTTCTCTCTCCATGAGCCCCTTGCCCTCCTCTGCTTTTCTGCCACCTCATGTTTCCCTCTCAAAGATGCTTTTCTTTGGCACTGTCTAGCACTCACTGCCCCCTATCTTGAGATCCTCCCCCAAAATGTGATACAGAGTCCTCAGGGTGTCTTAAAACTTCTCAGTGTCCTACTTGCTGGCTCCCCCAAGCCACACAACGGGGGAATAGAGGAGGTAGCAGGGTTACTTCGATTCAGCCCCTCTGGCACACTAAGGGGAACTTGAGCGCTGGCCCAGGACTGCTCAGTGAGTGGTGGAGGGGCCCAGCCTCAGCCACGTACCTGTCTGCACCACTCCTGGATGTCATGGACGGCCAGCGGGCCCTGGATGCTGCCGTCCCGCCGCAGGAACACCTCCCCCTGGTCTGTCTCATAGAGCTGCGGCTCTGCCTGGGCCTTGGGGGCGTGCACACTCAGGCGGATCACCTGGTGAGGGCAGCGGCAGCTCTGGATGCGGCCCCCGGCAGTGTGCTGCCCAAACACCGCCCTGCTCGTTCCTGGTTCAGGGGCCTGGGGGCTGCCTGGTGGGGCCGGGGCAGGGATGTTTCAAGTCTCTTTTCTAGTCACCCATTTCCTCGACTTGTCTTTGCCACCACCCCATGCCCAGCGCTGCTCAGCAGAGTAGATTTGGGCCATCACGTGTAGAGTGAGGACATGACAGATAACAAAACAGCCCCAGAGACCCTCCTGTCCTGCAGCGCACCTTAAGGGGCGTGCTGCTGGCGTTGGCGCTGAGCACAGGGATGAAGCTGAGCGCGTAGGCGTCGGGGAAGACCTGGGGCCTGAAGCCCTGCAGGATGGAGTCCACCAGCAGACGCACGTGGTCCTCTTCGCGGTGGCTGCAGTGGACGCCCTGCACCAGCCCGCTGTCATCGATGCCCACCAGTAGGCTGCCGCCCTCGCCATTGAGGAAGGCGCACACATAGCGCCGCAGGTGGTGCTTGAAGGTCAGACTCAGGTACTCGCCGCCGCCCCTCTTGAACTCCACGTTGCGCGACTCGCTGCCCAGGAAGGCTCCCTGGAAAAGCCACTCCTGGCCCTGGATCTCCTGGTGCATGATGGCGCTGTCCGAGCGCGCGCACCTGGGTTGGTACGGGGAGCTACGCCACGTCGGGGCCTGGGCAGGCGGGGCGTTGGTGCTCCTGGCCCGTGGGAGGCCGGAGCCGGGGCTCCGACTGGGGCCCGGGCTGAGGCCCGGGCGGGGGCCAGGGTTCGGGCCGCTGTCTTCCTCCTGCTGGGGTGGTGCAAGAGTCGGGAGCCCGGACCAAGGCACCAAGAGGGACAGGCTTCCCAGAACACCCACCTCCACCATGCTGGGGCTCAACCCACTCAGGAATCCCTATGGCCCCTCCCAGGCGGAGGGGTCTCATTCTGCCCAAGATCGTGCAGCCAATGAGCGAATGCCTGCCGGATCAAGGGCTCAAAGCGGCTACTGTTGCTTCCCGCTGGGCTGCTGCTGTCTTCCCAGGTGGACTGTGAAATGCATGTCGGGTAAGAAGAGCTCTCCTTTCCGGGGCTGAAGCTGGGCCACCTGTGGGGCAATCTCTTTCCACTCAGGTGTGGATAGACCTCTGAGGCCCAGGACTGCATCACCAGGAGGTCCTTCAGTGCCCTGAGGTCCCATGAGACAGCTTCAGGTCTCTGAACAGCAGGGGCTCCCAGAGCCCCGCTCTTCCTGATCCTCCTGAAACTTTCCCCTTAAACCCCAGTGAGGCTATGCATACCCGTGCGCCTGGGCGAGGCTCTGGGGCTTGCAGGCCTGGTGGCTCTGGGAATGCCTCACTTACCTCTCTGTGGTCTGCCGGCCGGGGGCCTACTCCCAGCACCAGCTCCTTCCCGTGGGCCACCAGCTCCTTGATGATCTGGTGCTCCTCCAAGGCTCTTTGCAGGCGCCAGGGGAGGGAGGCCAGGGTTTCGGCGTGGGTGGCCACCCGCACCAGGGCGTGGGCCTTCCTCCGCCGCCTCACCACCTCGATGTGCTCCCGCGCCACTGGCACCTCCAGTCGCTCCAGGGTGTCTCGGAGCAGACAGGTGAGCACTGGCACCGAGAACTGGGGGTTCAAGTGGCCCACGTAGAGAATATGCGTGCCGGGAGCCTGCTCCAGGCCTGAGTGCATAGGCAGGGACTCCTCTGCGGGGAGCTCCTCTTGCAGGGGCTGCTTGCCTGGGGGCTCCATGAGGGGCTCCTGCACCTGTTTTGTGCTGATCTCTTCCTGGCGGTCTCTGGAGGGGTCTCCCTCACAAGGGCTTCCAGGGTTGCTACTGCTGGCTGCTGTCCCCAAGGCCCTGGGCTCTCAGCTTGGCCCAGGCCTCCCAGGGAACTCAAGGGGTGCCAAGTAAGGCTCCTGGGAGGTTCACAGATGGGCAGGGGCTGGGGAGGGCCAGAGAGAGAGAGGGCAGAGGACTAGCAGCAAGGGGCCAGCCACCCACCCCAGGCCTAGGACAGGACAGCACAGTCAGGCAGGGCTGAGCCAGAGAACAGAGCGTGTGAGCCTGCCCCTCCATTCCACAGAAGGGAAGACTGAGGGGCATGTGTCCAGATAGAGACCGAGGGGACCAGGACTCAGGTCTCTGAGGCTTCTCATATCCTTTCATTGGCCCAGGGGTCCTGACTTCCCTCCCTCGTCCACAGGCTCGGGCCATGGGGTTTCCTGCCCACCAGAGATTACTGCTGCTTCCAGACACCAAGGAAGTTTGTTCAAGGGCCCTGGGGGAGGCTTTCTTTACCCAGGGCTCCGAGGCCTGCCTGAGGCCCCTCTGCTGCTTCTTCTTGCCTGGTCTGAACCTGGTATGAGCCCAGAGGAGGCTCTGATGGAGTCAGAGCTGGCTCAGAGGGTTTTAGAGCAGATTTTTATGCTTTGGGCACACCAATGAAAGCCTCGGCCTCTCCCCAGAAAAAAATGGACTTTGCATATGTATGTTTAATTTTTGTGGCCCTTCTTAAGAACTAGCCTAGACCGAGTCCTCTGTTTCTGGTTCAGAGAGATGAAGTGAGGAGGGGCAGAATGAGGGGCAAAGCTGGGCCCCTACCTAGCCCCATCCAGTCTCCTGCCAAGCCTGGGACCTCGCTTGCTTGCTACGCACACACTAGCCCCTGCACTTACCCCCGCACACCCAGCCTCTGGGCTGTGTGGCAGGGCCCACCGGCCTGCATCTTTTCAGACTGGATCCTTCAGGTAGGCAGGGCCGGGGGGCCACCTCAGCTGGGGTAGGGACATTCAGGGCCAATGGAAGTAGGAGGAAAAGGGATGCCTGTGACCTTCATGTCTTGACTGTTCCTGGGGGCCAGCCCTGAGCTCCCACAGCCCCTGATGCCTGGCCAGCAGCCCCCAAGGGCACTTGGGGGCTTGGTGTGGGGGTCAGTGAGAACCAGGGCTGGAGGAAGTGGGCGGGGCCTTACAACTCCCTCTGTGATCTCATCTGAGTCACCAATGCCTTCTGGGCTAGCCTTAGGCACTCAGGTGGCCAGGGTGGAAAGTCTCATAGGGGGATGTTTCCCCCTAATTCCCACCCCCACTGTCAATAGAAAGAGCTATACACAGATACACACCGGGCTGGCCCTGAGGGTCCCTCTGGGCAGCTCCCAGAACACAGGGGCTGAAGATGAAACCAATCCCATGCTCCATTCAGCACTGACAGGGCCCAGATACTTTAGGAAGGGCCAACGTGCAGTTGGTTCCAGGGCTCCCTCTGACACCAGGCCCTTCTCTGTGCCAGAGACAGAGGCTGCTGTCCAGAAGAGCACTGAAAATGGGTCAAGGCCCTTTTTGGGAGTACTCCAAATGACCAGACCCCACTGTCCAGGAGTCTGTGGAAAACCTGGGCCTGTTCTGGTTTGGCAGCCCTGACCCTCAGCTTCACAGTTAGAATCTCACAGTGGCCAAGGGGAAAAGGCATCAGGATGTGAGAACCAGTCAACGGTGAGAGCTGGCAGGGCCCTCGGGAGTCTCCTTATCCAAACCCCTCAGAGCCAGACGGACTTGAAGGAAGGGAATGACTCGCCCAAAGTGCCACGGCAAGTAGCTGGACTGGCGGGAGCCTCAGCCTTGGCTCTGAAGTCAGGCTACTTGGCTTCAAATGCTACTTTAGCACTTCCTGGCTATGTGATCTGAGCTTATCTCTTCTCATCTATAAAATGGGTTGTGGTGAAGATTGAATGAGATCATTCGAATTCATGTAGAACAGTTTGTGGGGTAGTGATAGAAAAGTGTGAGTTACTCTCAGGTTCTACCGCACTGTGCCACCGCCCCTATGCCCCATGAGAAACACGCAGGTGTGGCCCTGGACTTGAGTGCCTGGCCCCTGGCCGGGCTAGTCTGCATCTCTCCTTGTCCCTGAGGCTCCTTGGAGCTGCTCACCCCAACACTGTTCTTTCTGCTCGGGCACACATAGCTGCTGTGCCCTCTGCTGTCTCGCTGTACCTGAGTGAAGCCCTTTGTCTTCCCGGGGGTCACATAATGCTGGGGCCTCAGGGGACACCTGGAACTAGAAGAACTCTTAGGGACCATCTTGTCCAAACTCCTCATTTTATATTTGAGGAAACTAAGGCCAAAAGGAGGGGACTGGCCTGCCCATTGGAAAAGTGATTTGGCTGTTGACTGATTAAAAAGACACTGACATCTATGTTGTTTTTTATTTATAAACAAATTGACATAAAATAAGTCCAGATAGCAGCAGGGCAGCAGTGCTGCTGACCTGTTTATGAAGGAAGCATGTGGATGGTGGCCTGGGTGCAGCCAGACTCCAGCCTGGAGAACCTTTCCTCCCACCCACTTAGGGCCTTCTTGTCCTAAAATCATTGGTGAAACCTTCTGCTGCAGCAGTTCTGGCCACGGCAGGAAGCTGTGCTGAGGACAGTGCAGGACAGGGCACTCGCACTCCCGCAGACCAGGCTGGGGCTGCAAAGGGCCTGGTAAAGGGAGAGAGGGCAAGGCAACAAGGACCCTTCCTCTCTGCACTGAGTAAAGTGGTCAAGGCTTTACGGGTCTGCCCATCCCCAAAACAAAGTGCCCCGGGGCCATGTCCTTTGTGAAGGGGCCATGCCTCTCTGGACCAGGGCAGGGCAGTCTCTCTCCTCCTGAAGCCTCAGGTCTGCAGTGAGAGGAGTATGAACTGAAGGGCTTGCCCCAGTGCCAGAAGCAATAAATTAGCAATAAGAAAAGATCTTTTTAAAAAAGGTAGAGGTCTGCACCATGAGTTTAAAGTCTGGGGGTCTTGTAGGAGAAGGCAGGAGCTGTGGGCCAACGGTGCCACAGCAGGTTCAGCAGATGGTAAGGGAAATGGGCACAAGGGTCAATTCAGGGCCCCTTCTTCTGAAGCTCAGGGGTTGGCTCCTTCTGCCATAACATGGTAGCTGTTCAGTCTAAACTTTTGGTGAGAGGCCAGCTGCGCTTGGGAAATAAATAGAGGGACCTCAGAACAGAGGCAGGGCAGAGGGAAGAGCAGTGCCAGCCCTGGGCCCCACGATCCCCCACCTCAGCCCTTCATGGAAGGGCACGTCATGGCAGGAGGGCAGCAGTGGGGTCTCCACACAGCCTCCTGCAGTCCTGAGGTGGCCCTGAAACACAGTGAGGCACCGGGAGTGGGCTGCTGGTCCTGCTTCCTGGGAGAAGACCATCGGCCCCACCTGCTCCCCACTCAGGTGTCTGCGCGGTGCTTCCTGTTCAGAACTTGCCCTGCTTCAGCCGGTCAATGTGGTAGCAGAGCTTGAGCGCGGGCCCCAGCTTCAGACCCATGTACTTCATCATCATGTCACTGCGCAGCAGGAGCAGTGCCTTGCCGTCAATCTCCTGCGGGCGGGGGTGGGGGAGGAGGTGCCATCAGAGGCCTGGTTGGTCTGATGACCCCAGGGAAGTACCAGCCCCATGGAGTCCAGGGAACCTGCTGTGATACTAAAGCCTATCTGGTCTTCCACCTTCTGTCTCCAACCATCCCTCCCTGCAAAATCTACTGCTGAGCCCAACCAGCTAAGCTGTTCACATGTCTGCGCCAATTTTCTTCCTTTACTGAGACCCTCCCAAACCTCTGGGATCCAGCTCTGTTCCATCTCGTCCAGGAAGCTATCTCAGGTGGGGTTCTGGTCACTTCTCAGAGCCTGTGTTTGCACAGATTGACCCTCACCTGTTATTCTGGGAGTCCTTCTCCTTCCTGCGCGGCAGGAACCTTCTGTGTGAGCCACACACAAGGCAGGCACTTACCGAGCAGCTGAGACCTTCAGGCCTGAGCTGAGAGCACCCTCTACACCCACCTGGCGTGAGTGGTATAAATGACCAACAAAAGGTGGCAGATGTCTTCTGAGTGCCCGAGGGGCAGAACAGTACCAAGTGACGGGTGACGGGGAAATGGCTTTGAGCCCCAAATCAGAAGTATGGTCAATGCAGGGGGGGGGGGTCAGGAGTAGACCCTGGCCACAGGGCCAAATGGTCTCTTGAATAGGTGTTTGAGGGGCTAGTAGAAGATGAAGGGACTGATGAGGATGGAGAGTTGGGGGCCACTTGCCAAGGGGTTCTTTAACTTGGGCTGTGGCCCCTTATTCCTGGGCCAAGGCAGGCAGATGGGGGAGCAAGGACAAGAGGGGGGCCTGACACTGAGCCCAGAGGGTGTATGTTTACCCCGTAGGAATGTGGCTGAATCAGACCCTACACTAGAGGAGTAAGCTGAACTCAGTGCCCAGTGAAGACTCTTTGAGACCCCAGACTCTAAGTTTGTGTAATCTCCTGTGCTTGGTTTCAAGGGACCTGAAACAAAAACACAGTCCATGCCCTTAGGAGTCTACAAGTTGCAGAAGCAATACTCCCAGCAAGCATGAGAGATCAGGCAGGGGCACTTACGTGTTTACGAAAAAGGTCAGCATGGAGTCCGAGCTGAGGATCAGCTTCCCGAACAAACTGCATCACATCCTCGACTGTCCATGAGGAGGGGTCCCTGCCACTCAGTCGAGGGGCATCCCGGCTTTCCAGGTATCGGTCTGACCCTGTAAAACAGAAGGATACCTGCCATTACGGGTGGGGACGGATTTGAACTCCCCGCCACTCTCCTTGGCACGTCCCGCAAGCCTCTGTGGGTGAGGCTAACAGTCTTGCCAGAGCAGAGGAACCAGAGCAGGCAGAAACAGTGGAGGGCTTTCTACAAAGCGTTTAAGGGGCTGAGTCTTAGGTCAAATATTTGTCCTCTAAGG